ATCTCAATATTCACGCTAAAACAAACAGTATCACGAACGAACGTTAACTTCAACAATACCCTGTGACTGCAGTTCAATTACTCACTGTCTACCCACACATTACCTTACTCCTCTTTTATATACCAGCGTACCCCATTTCTAGTAAGAACCTGAACATTCGCCAAAGTACATGATAGTTCTAGAAACGTTGCGTCACGGTGGTCATGTGACTCGCTGACGCAACAGTATTGTTGAAGTTAACGTTCGTTATAGCGTTTGTTTTAGCGCGAATGTTGAAATCAAGTGTATCGTGAAGTTATATTCAGAAAGAATAAACCAGTTTTATTAAGTAAGGACTTGTGTCACTAAAGTTTCGTCAGAACGAAGTTACGGAAAGTTAATTAACAAACGGAGACGTAACAATGGGATAAAATTAAATAGATAGCCTAGTAATTTTTTCTTGGTTTTTGTAGTTTATTTTTATTTCACAGTATCAGAAGTGCAATATTTGACAAGTAAGTTTTAGAGCTATTAATAGAAAAGTTTGTTATTCATGTTCAACTGTAAAAAACTAATATTGAAGCCTAAAACCCGTGAAATAAAAAAATGAAAAAATAAATCTGGACTGGAGAGATTTCACATAATACCTTCCTCTTTGTTGGGTCATATCTTTAGAAATTGTTGTAGACATTAATGTGATTATCTACAAAATTGTAAACAAGAGGAATTTTCTTACTGAACATTTTTAAAAATGGTAATAGAGAAAGCTCCAGGTGGTGTTGCCCATTTAAGTTTAAGGTAGCAACATTGAATTGAATTAAATTATGTCAAGCTGGTTCTTCAGTTCTAACAGAGTTACAATAGTTAGTGTTTTGGGGAAAAAAATTAAGAATTAATATTTTGTTTCTCAGAATATGTTTCATAAGATTTATTTTTAGGCTGCTGTTTGTAGATAATCTTTTGAGTACAATGACATGAATAATTCAAATATTTCTGAAAACTACTGTATGAATTGAGAGGTCTATGAGCTTTTCTAATATTATTTGGTCTTTTTAAATCTGTGAACATCTTGATACTTAATTGTCATATGGTTATACATTTCTAAATGATTATACCACTCCCATCATTTATCTTGTGTACTTTTTTTTTATTAAGATTGTCATTAAGTTTCAAATATCATGGCTGTAAATGGATAGTAAAGAAACAATGCTTACTAATAAAATATATTATTCAGTGATATGTTTCATATGTGAAACAGTGTGAAAGCAAACATGTAAAAGTCAGGAAATTTGAAAAAAAAAGAGTTCAATAAGTCATGGAAATTATCCCAAGACTTGAAAATTTCAGGAAAAATTGTGTTTCTGCCCCTTCTTTTATCTTAGAACCTGCACACCCATGAAAAAATGCTGCATAGCTATGCCGTTTATGGAGATATTTTAACACAATCTTGATCTGTCACTCTGTGTTACATTATTTGGTAATAATTATTTAATGCATTATATTTTATGATTGTTTGGTGGGTTCTTTTTATTACTTGTTAAAAAAAAGAAGAATGTAAAGTCCAGTCCACCTAATGATAATGAAGGCATTTTATATCTTTGTTTATATGTTCTACAATTTATACAAGTTTAATGATTTTGCTTAACTAATGCCAAGCTTAAGTTTACAAATAAACTAATCTTGACAGAAATTCCACTTACTTGCTAATTTCATATCTCTGGTACTTTGTTGCAAACACAAGCTCAATATCTACAACACTGAACTAACTAACTGGCTGACAGCAAGAAAAAAAATTGACTAAATCATACACTGATTACTTAGTAACTGACTAACAAACATATCTGTTAACTCTAGCCTGGCTTGTTCTTTATTTCTGGCTCAAACTGTTCAAAACCTTTGAAGAAAATTTCAGATGTTAAGCCAAGGACTCATCACATGAAGTCAAATCTCCCTCTAGTCAAAGAACAACATATCTAACTTAAAAACATCCTAAGTGCATAGGTTAGGTCAAATATTATTATATAAATATAAATGCAACATTTTAGTGTTCACCATCAAGTTTCAATGTCTATGTTTGAAGATGCATTATGTTTTGAAATTCTTATTACTTTTATAACCAAGTTACAAACTAAAGACAGAGTTAATTAGGTAGAATTATGAGAGAAAATATAAGTATAATTGTGTCATATATCAATTGTGTTCAGATTTCGAAAATTCGTAATTTTACCTGGAAAGTCAGGGAATTATTTTTGAAAAGAATGTGACCATTATTTTAAAAATAATGTAATGTTTTATACCCTAAAGTTTGAAAGATTTTGTACTTTAGGTGATAAATTTGATCTTAGCTAAATCTAATAATAAATGTTTTTCCATCTCCTTTGTTACAGTTTTTCATATAGAATTACCTACTTTACCAAACAGCAGCAGCACTCCTAAGTCCAAATTCCATAGCACTACTAGTCCTTCTGTAGAAACAAAGATTACTTCAACTTTGAAATGTACTCCTGTGTGTGAAGGAACAAAAGACACCCCACTTAGCTCACGACGCCTTACTCCTTTGTCAGAACGTCAGCAAATAGCCTTATTGCTACAACTTACAGCTCCTGAAAATCAGAGTGGTAAGTTTATTGCCTGATGACAGTAAGATGTAATGATATTAATTGTTAAATTTTATCTGTCTGTTATATATATATGTTTAATTTGCTATAAAGTGATGAAATAAGTAATATTTTTTGTGCATTTGTGATAGGTTGAATTGTTAAAAAGGGCCATAATTACTAGTAATTGCTAAGGGGCTATCCCTTTAGCTCATTTGGTAGAACTCTCGACTGGCATGCAGGTTTCAAGTTTGATCCCAAGCAGAGAAAATAACCACAGAAAAATAAACAAATGACTACTTGTCATCCTTCAACTTTGAAATAATGCTTAAGGAAGGGCTTTATGAAAGGAGAAGAATGTGGTATTTTGAATTGTTAAAAAGTGTCTTACTAGAAATTGGTAGAGGGTTAACCATTTAATTCAGTTCATAATATACCTATTTCTAGTGTGAATGATCCCAAGTTCAGATCGTGGGAGATGCAAACATTTAAACTGACAATCAGTGAGTTTATTATAAGATAGAAGCATATATGAACTATGGAACCTTTTTATGTGACTTAATGATCATAAGGTTATAATGTGTTGTAATCTTAGGCATTTTCTATTGTATGCTTAACTTACTTGCAAAGTTTCCTCACTATCAATTGATAAACATTTTGACTGACTAACTGAATCACAGATTAGCAGACACATTAACTCTCACTTTCTAATTTAATGATTGACATTGGACTGATTAACTCACATTTTTATTTTTTGCCTGTTTTCTACATACTATGGAAAGCTTTAAAATTACTATTAATGAAATTTCTATATTTCACCAGTCATTACTCATGTTAGTAAACAAACTCCCTCTAGTGATCAAAAGCATTAAAATGATAAAAATATATCCCACAACAATACCATTAAGCTGCAAAATAAATAGTAGAATAAGATATTATTTGTTTGATAAAATTTTTACATATTCCTATTATTCAAAACACTTACAAAATATGGTATATTTTCTGTTAAAGCATTGGAAAAAATTTGATTAAGTCCAAAAATACAGTCTTTGGTTCAAAAAATAATGATAACAGAATGTTTATGAAACAATCTTTGTTTTCTTAAAAACATTAACTAATTTTGAATTCTTTGTGTTTAGTTTAATAAAACCAGTGATGCATTGCCCTATCTATTAACCACAAGGTAAAAACAGACAACTTGTTGTATGTATTAATCACAAGACAGATGGTTTGGTTATTAAATCATCCAACAGGTGATGCACTGTTGTAATGTGTTCACCACAAGGCAGATGGGTTGGATACTAAGTCATTCAACAGATGATGGTGTATTACTTTATGTGACAACTACAATTTTCTTGCATTTATTTTATCGACAAAACATTTTGTTGCCTGAAGTGTTAATTATTTTGATTCTTTCTTATCCCTCCTTTCACCAGTGCTTGTGCCTCTCACATTCTACTTTACACACAGTTATTCCAGTTTTATTTATTCTTTTGCCATTAGGCGACCAGTTGTAGTTTTGTTGTTTCACCATTCAACATGTGTCTTGTCTTTTTTACATATATCTCAAAACTTCTAATTATTGGAATATTTTATCAACACCCATAGTCCTTGTGCTTTCCCCTGATTTTGAAGCCATACCAACTTTTGTCACAAGGATACCCTAAACTTCTGCATAAGACAGAAATAAGAAACCCCTTTAACCCAAGCACTTTTGACAGGTGGACCTTTCTTCATATGGGGCAAAATTGGAACTGACATATACTTTATAATCATTATGTTTTGTTATTACTCAGATTAAAAGTAAATGTTTTAAGAACTTACAGTAAGGTTGTGGTGATTGGATATCAGTCATTTTCATGGTTAATCACCTCAATGATCACCTCAGTCTAAGTTATTAATTAGTTACTAAATTAAAAAAGTAGTTACTAATTAATAATTAGATAATTGATACTTGAAGCCATCGGTATTTGGTGAAACTCCATAATTACAGAATTGAGGAAAAACAAGATAATTGTACGTTTCACAAATGCATCATCAGTTAATTAGACTTGGTGCTTGTTTAGGTTACTGATCGTGACAGTGTTTTAATCTGTTTTTCACATTGATTTTATTCCTTCATTCATTTTTCTTAATTTTTTCTCACATTTACTTTGGAACTGAATTTTAAAATATTAAACTAAGTCCATTTTAAAGAACTGACAACCATCTGTGTTCTTTAATGGGTATAACTTGCCAGTCATAAGACTGATTTTATGTGTGTCTAGTGAGGAATTCTTGTTTCTAAAAAGATTAAAAAAAAAGTGTTAATAGTGACCTTTATGTAAATATATATTAAATCTAGATTATATGTTTAAAATTTAAAACTCAAAATCAGTTAAAATGGGATAGAAGAAATGTTTCACTACTGTTAACGTGGCATCATGGGGTGGGGGGTAAAATGATGTATTTTTTCTATCCCATTTTAGCTGTTTTTGAATTCTAAATTTTGTAGAGTGTGGGATACCTCCAACATTTATATTTAGATTGTATGTTGATCACAAACCAGCATCAATAGTTTTTTCTGTTTTTTTTTATACTGTAGTCTGTAGACAACTCTTAATTGTGCTAATAAATAATATTGTCCTCTTTATTAACATGCTTTCCATCACTGATGAAATAACTTGAAACTCTGTTCTTTGTCTTTCATTCAAAACAATCTCTGCATATATGTATTTTTTTGTTCAATTCTTGTGTACTTTTTTGTCATTAGACAAGGGTCAATAATGTTTTTTTACCATATATTCTTTGCTTAAAATGCTCTGGCTTGAACTTTTTAATTCATCATTTCTGTATTGCTGATTGCTGACTTAACAGTAAGTCAAGTCATTGATAAGATAGTGTGTATTTTTATCATCTAGATTTACAGATAGATATCTGCTATAATAAAAGCACTAAATATTATTATTTTATATATTATTTTTAGTAATGCTTAATCCTATTCTTCATAGATTTTTGCTGGACCCTTATTTCTGTTGAAATTAATAATTTTTATAATCCTTTTAGATTAGCATCAAACCTTGTAAGAGTATAAAGTGGTTTAATAGTGTAACTCTCACTATACAAAGCAGGAATATGATAATTTATGTAATAATGTTTTGCCAAATTCATAAATTTTTCATAAATGCTTGAATTAAAGGCATATGATTTCTGTTAGTTCTGTTTTGATGTTTTAACTGTCATTTTACTATTTTATAACTAATCCTTTCCCTTTAAACATACTGCCATATGCTATATTTCTTAATGTTGTAATTTGTTCGTTAGCTAAAGGGAGCTGCAGGTCATATTTATGACATCAAGATCAGACAAGTCTAGAATACATGAAATATTTTTACAGATCTTGCATCATATTTTGTAGTACATTCAAGGGTAGATTATAAATATGGGGTCAGTGAAGCATCAAGAGTTAGATAAGAAGATAGTAGAGTTAATTAGTCAGAGTGTGTTTTCATTTTAGCCAGAGTATTATCAGTTGGGAGTACAAGTAAATTGATTTTTACACTAGTGTAGTGCAGTTAGCATCATTTGTACAAGTTACAACAGCATACAAGTCATGCTTGTAGAAATGTCAAAGAAGAAATAAACTAATCTGTTGCTGTCTATGTGGACTGGACTTCGAATTAATTTCACCGAATGATTTAAAAGAACCTGCCAACAAAAGAGAAATGTTAAAAAATGTGTCAGAAGTGATATTGTTTTGGTGAAAATAACATAGAACTTTGACTAAGCTTAAGGACACAGAGTGAAATAGGAAACATTTTAAACAAGAGAAAACAATAGAAAAAATAACAAACAAAAAGAGATAGAGCATTTAAAGAAGAACAAGAAAAAAAGATACAGAAACATTTAAAACAAGACCAAGAAGAGAGGGACAGAAAATTAGAAGAACATATAGGAATTTAAGGGAGGAGTTAAAATAAAGAGATGCACTATTTAAAGAAGAATTAAATGTAAAAATACTCTGATTAAAGACAAGAGCAATGAAGCTATTGGAGATTTACAGACAAATTACAACAATAATGTTGAAAAAGTACAAAAGAACAATGAGAAAGTCAAAAGCAAAGCACAAAAATACATGAATGTAGTAAAGAATGACATAAATGAGGTAGAAAAGAACATCATTGACAGAATGAAGCATGTAGAAAATGAATTATTAAATGCAAAGACCAAACCAGCCACACCTCTTTCTGCATTGGCTCAAGAGTTCAACTGAAAACACCATTGTGACTATACAATCTATTTGTGCAGCTTAAATGTAGAGGAAGACATTTTGAAAGTCTTTTGTCTTCAGGTCAGTTTGTGCAAACTACTGCAGACCTTGTATAGTTTCCAGGCAGATTGAGGTGGATGTGCCCTGATTGTTTGTTTTTTCCTGATTGATGGAGCATTGAATTGGCTAGGGTATTTTTGCAACCCAGAAGACCAAATAGCAAGATGGTTCCAGAAACTTCAGGAATATAATTTTAATATTGTGTACCACCCTGGATGGAGCCATGGGAATGATGATCACAAAGACCATGTGTTAATGAAGAGTGTAAGCACTAGGAGAAGAGGAAAGAAGTACAGCAGAGTTTAGTCCAAGATGTGGCATCCACAAATAATGTTAAGGAACTGATGTGGTACAACACTCATCTGATAGATGCTCAGGCAAAAAATAAAAGCTTTAAACCAATATTCAGTGGCTTATGAATGGTGCAGAAATATACTCATGGTAAACAGTTGCTCCATATTGCCTAAAAGCAAAGATGTATTGGGCACAGTGGAATTCCTTATGCTTACAAAAGGACTTATTATGTTGGAAGTGGGAAGATACCAGTGGACAGAAGCAAAGGCTACAGTTTGTACTTCCCCAGCAGTGTCTACATTCTGAAGCACTCTGTCATCACCACAAGTTTCCAATGACTGGGCACTTGAGTGTTAAAAAGACACTGGAGTGAGTAAGAGAACATTTCTACTGGGTTGGATGCCAGGGGTCTGAGGAG